CACAGATAGCAGCCAGCCGAAGAGGCAACGGAAGGACCGGCGCCCGATCGTGCTCCGCACCCTCAAGGAGGAAGTTACTGAAGTGGACTCCAACGGGAATCCAACGGCGCCCGAACGAATAGTCAAGGGGTACTCGCTTCAGCTCGGGTGCATTGTCCGGAGCACCGTCTCGATCAACACCGAGAACCTGAGGCATCCTGACCGAGGGAATTTGCGCAACCTCCTCTTCACGAAGCTGCACGAACGATACAAGTTCCCCGCTGAATTCGAAAACACAAGCCTCAAAGGGAATAAAGTGAACAATGCTGCCCTCACGAAGATGAGCAAGGCCCTGTCTACTTGGAAAAGAAATGTGAAGAGAATGATCGAGAAAGGTGAGAGTTATGAGAAGATCAAGGAGAAAAATCCTTCGATCACCGAAGATGACTACAACGACTTCAAGATCAATTGCTCGAGCACCGCAAGCTCCCAATCAAGTGAGTGGGGGAAACAAATGCGGGAGCTGAACATAGGGGAACACACACTCGGTCCCGGCGGTTACAGAGTGGCGGAGCCTATATGGGACAAGGAGGACGCGGACCGTGCCGAGCAAGGCCTACCGCCCCTCTTCGATAAATACGATGACAGGCAGACCAGGAACTTTGTCAGGGCCCGGTACAAGAAGGATCCGAAAACAAAGGAGCTTACCACGGATCCGAAGACCAGGCGGCTTGAGCTTGTTCTGGTAAGGAATACACCCCCGCGTAATTAGCTTCATATGGTTGCATTCTAATTAATGAAGCCGAATTTCTAAATGGTTCACATTCCTTCCACAGGCGACTGAAAGCAGTAGCGCGGGGTCGACTCAGAGCAACCCTTGGGACACCACTCTAAATAGGGGGTTGAATATAATGAAGAACAAGGATAAGCTCAGTAAGCCGACGTCAGCTGGTCGTGTGGCCGGCAAAGGCTTGTCGACAAAATGGGGGTCATACTATACCGCTGGTGTGCGGAAGGAGAAAAAGACCAGCTCGGAAAGCCAGGCGCGAGAGGTTCAAGAACTCAAGGCACAGGTGGCGCGGATTCCGGAGATTGTCCAAGAGCAAGTGGAACAACGACTCGGAGCGACGATCACCGCCCTTGTGCCTACCTTGATCTCGGGGTTGAGTGCGTGGATTGCGGGCGGCCAACAGGGGCCGCCCCCGGTTCCTAGCTTCACGGCCAGCAACTCGCATAATGCGATGGCGGGGCCGTTGGTGCCTCCGGCGGAGGCGGCATTGGTGTCTCCGACGCCGGCACGGGAGCTTAATGCACCCGGGTGTACGCCGGCCGGCACCTCTGCAGCAAGCGGCCCCTCCGTCAACTGCACGCCCGCCGTTGGCCGTGCCTCTACATTAGCCGAGCTCGACGCCATCATCACGGTAACTAATTAAGCCTCTCTCGGCCGAGGACTTCATCTCCTTGCCTTTGACTGGGCATCCCTGACGCCCTACATGTTTTCGCAGGGCGCCGCCGACGTTCCGTGCACTCTCCTCCACTTCGTGAACAACGAGTTGGTCGATGTCGCCAAGGGCAAAATCGTTCAACCGGGCAACCCCTTGTTCCACGGTACCCAGATGCCACCCAACTTGTTTAGGGTTCAACTGGTTCGGGTGCTGCCAGGCTGCGATGACTTGTTACCTCCGAATCGACCCGTCGGGGCCGACGATGATGACGTGATGACCCTCAGCGCCTGCCTGAGCTGGCCCCTGCTTTGGCCGAAGAGCCAGATTCGTTTGGGGGCGGGGGACACCACCCCAAAGACAACACCGCCAGTCGTGCCGGCGCCAAGTCGGCCCCATGGCAAGACCGCCGTAACGGTGCCGGACATCCCTATGCCACTGGATCCAAACATGCATATGGCACAGGATCAGAATGACGACGACGACGACTATGATACATTTGGCAACGTCGATCAGTACTTTGCCGAGCATGGGTACGATGGCGACTTCATGGGGCCTCCTTCTCAAGAACCAAACCCAACAAAAGACGTGTGCAATCTAGCTCGTACCGCGGAGAAGCCAAGTTGCAACAGGCGCCGTCTGGCGTTCAACTCTCAGGAGACGCCTCCAGCTGCCGACTTCACCGAGCCTCAGATAGGCGAGGTGCGAAATATTATCAGCCCCAACACACTCAAGAAGGCGGTCTGTGAGCAAAACTCGGTCCCATTACAGGAGAAGAAGAAGGCACGCAAAAGAAAGACTAAGAAGGGTGCGAGCCAGCCGGCACCGAGTACGATCCGTGCTCAGGACGGGCCACCTTCACCTAAGGATATCTCGAGGAGGGTGCATGTGGCGGGTGGGGCGATGCTACCACCAAATATGCTCAATGCTGCAACCGGTGCTATGCGGAGTCTGCACGACAGTGTTCTTTCTTTGGAGAAGCGGCGTCTCAGAGAGAAGGATGTGGCATACCCGGTTTTCGTGGCCAAGGTGCCAGAGGGCAAGGGCTTTGTGGATGGCGACATCGGGGGTACGATCGTCCTGCGGTTTGATGACATCTTTGCTATGTTTAACCTTCATCCGCTGCACTACACCTTCGTTCGGCTATTTTCGCTGAGTATGGAGATGCGGATCATTCGCGACAAGACCCCGGACATCGTGATAGTCGACCCCTTCTACATGCGTGCCAAGATCTTGGGCAGCGCTGGGGACCGGCAAGTCGCGAGTTCTTACCTCGAAGGCGTCATTCTGGCAAACCAAGATAAGGATAACTTCCTCGTGCCTTACTTTCCCGAGTAAGTCCTCCCCTCAACCGGCCCGTAACATATGAATTCTTACATTTCGATCGTTTTTCTTTTAACATTCCGTGTTTTCCGCAGTGACACACGTTGCACGCTCATCCTCCTAAGCCCCAAATATTCCATGGCCACGTATTTCGGCCCGGACCATCAGTCGAACGTAGACTACACAAATGTCAAGAAGGTTCTTGATGATGTTCTCCCCGGCTACGCCAAATCTGGAGGCACCTTCACCAGGCCTATTCGTAAGTACGGCAAGCACGTGTTCTCCCACAATACGACGTTCTGCTGCGTCAAGCAGCCGCCTGGCGGTCAGAAGGGTGCCTACTACGCCATCCATCACATGCGGGCGATCGTACGGGACCATCATCAACTTCTGCTACCGAGTAAACTCCAAGATTGGGCCGCGAGCGTGTCGGCAATCCAGGACGCGGACCTCCGACAAGAATTCTTTCGCATCCAGTCGGAGTTTGCGGAAATCATCCATCAAGATGTCCTTCGTACCTCGGGACAGTTCTACCTCAGAAATCAACCGTCCAACAGTGACATCGACACAATGCTACAAATGCAGGATGACAACGCCCGTTCTTTCATGACTCCCACGATAGACGGCGGCTTCATCCACGCTCCGGTCCCTTGAGTCGAGTTGTCTAGTTCTGAAACATCGATTGGCTCATGTTGTAATTAAACTTTAATGAACTTGTAGTATGTCTCTTTGGTTTCGAGAGTCGTTCAACTTAGATGTAATCGATGCTATTAATGTCTTGCTTTTCTCTTCCGATCGTTCTGTTGCATACTTATATATTGCTTATGTATTGTCTGTGAATTGGTACTAACGTTTCGTTTGGCTAGTGCATAGCGATGCCGACGTATGTCGTGTACAAGGGTAAGGTTCCCGGAGTCTACGATGACTGGGAGGAGTGTCGGAGACAGGTTCACCGATTCAGCGGTAACAGTTATAAAGGGTACACCACTAGGGCCGAGGCCGAATCTAGATACGCCCGCTATCTAGCGGGAGAGGGGAGGGAGCGTTGGAGGAACCGGATGAAGACGAGTTTCATCGTGATGATGCTCATCGTGATGACCGCAGCTCTCTTCTATGTGATGGTAGTTTAGATGATCGATATCGACTTGTAATGCGAAGATAAGCTCGCTACTCGCGGTCTCGAGACTTGTAATATAATGTTCTATCTTTGTTCGGTCTTTTCAATTCGGAGACTAATATGATGAATTGTATTCGGAGACTAATATGATGAATTGTATTCAAAGACTAATCTTCTATTGTATTTGATGAATCTATTGTTGATGTGTACTGTTTATATTTTGTCAAATTATACATTTTGTAACCTGTGCAAAAAACAGAAAATAAAAAAATAAAAAAAACCTAATATTCATACTAATGGCGCATCACACGACAGTGCGCCATTAGTATGACAGTGCATACTAATGGCGCATCACCGGGTAATGCGCCATTAGTATGCTGCGGTTACTAATGGCGCATCCAGAGGTGGTGCGCCATTAGTATGCCAAAGCACCTGGGTATACATGCCCCCTGGGAGGCATACTAATGGCGCACCCTCGCATATACTAATGGCGCACCAGGTGGTGCGCCATTAGTAAAAGTTACTAATGGCGTGCTATCAATGGCGCACCAGTGATGCGCCATTAATGGCCATATTAGGTGCGCCATTAGTAGTGGTATTTCTAGTAGTGCTTCATCATCGACAAGCCTGGCAAGAGGCCATGCGACAGAGACGAGACAGAGAGGCTGGAGATAGCGCACGTCAAGATGGAGACCGCGCTGCAGCTCTCCGACCGGTGGCAGATCACCGCCGCGCCGATGCTCCGCTGGCGAAGCAAGCTGAATCGCGCCGCCCAGGAGTGCGGCGACACGCTGCGCCACTGCAGGCAGCGCCAGCGCGCCCTTGAAGGCTCAAAGTTTTCTTTTCTTCAAACTCATGAAGTTCCTTCAAACTTACAATTTTTTTTAAAATTCGTGAATTTTTTCTCAAACCAGCGAAATGTTTCTAAAAAGTCAGCGGTCAACAGATCTGGTTAGAGATCAAAGGTCAATGGCCAGCCGGTCTGTAGTCTACCCTTTCAAACTTTTTCAAACCCATGATTGTTTTTCTATTTCATACACTTTTTTTCATTGCTTTCAAAGTATTATAAAAGATTAGGGAGAAGAAAAAATCGAAGTGAAAAAATTGTAGCGAAAGACAAAGACGGCACGGGCGAACGAATGAAAGGAGCACTACTGGGCGAAGCGCCCGCCAAGAGCTTCAGCTCCAGGTTCATGCTGCGCCTCTCCGAGAGCAGCGACGTGCTCGGGATCATAGCGAGGTGCATGCAGGCGGTGACGCCGCACCTCAAGGTGGCCGCGGATGGCCTCAAGAGGGAGCTCGTCCAGCTTCCAACCCAGGATTTCTCCTGGGTGGAGAGCTCCCCCTTCAGAGAGACAGAGTACTGGGTCGATATACACAGGACCTTGACCCAATGTCTTCGTCCAGACCCGCTCTGTTGCGGCGGCCATGATGATCCCATCGTCCCTTCTACTTGTAACAGCAGCAAGACCGACAAACAATCATCGTTGTCACCATCAAAGACGAGGTTGGCGTGCACACTGTTTCCAGAGCAGGTGATTACGGTCTATCTGCAGTGCTATATCTCGCCGACGGCTCGAGCTCCGCATAAAACATATGGGGGGAGTAGAAGAAGGTCTCTGAAAAATCCAGGTCTGAAGCTGTCAGTCCTTTTTATTCCCCATGACTTCCCAGAGGGCATAGAGCCTCACGACGACAGCTTTGCTTTCGAGGTGATCGACGGGAAGGAGCAAGAAACGGTCCATCGAAATGCGACCTTGCAAGACGTAGACGAGAAGCTGCTCCGCAAGGCCATGGATCACCTCTACCGGAGCTCCGAATCCAGGATGTATCAGCTGTGCCTGAGGTCCAGCCATGGCACCGCGCAACTCTGCGTGGAGAAGACGACGCCTGCAACGCGTGTGCGGAGTAAAGGAACCGCCGCATCACGGTTGCAGATCAATGGAAGCAAAAGGGTGGTGGATCGGAAACGAGAGGATTACAGAATAAAGGGATGGCAGGATGCGTCGAGGGACCTGCTCAAGCTATGGGTCGTGCGTGCGTCTGACAAGCTCTGCATGGCTCACTCAGCTCCTGGACTGTCAAGTCCCCACTGCAGAGCTAATCCCTCCCCTTGCCTTCTGAAATCTATTTATCTAGTAGGCACACTACGGAGAGTCTAGTCTAGGAGGAAAAAAGCAATTGTCAGATTTTCAGCTTTGATTTAACACTGCTACGGATCAACCGGGGAAATCAGTCGGGTCGACCGGTCGAGAGCCGTCCGATCCATCCTGTCTAAGCTGTTAGATGAGTCAACGCTTCATCGTCCACCTTGCTCCACCCGAGCACACGCAGCGGCGCGCGCGGTCCATCACTTCCTTCCTCTCCCGAACACATGCCGCGCTTCGCTGTTACGTCCCCCGATAGTAGCAACACTGGTGAGGGCTATATCCCAGCACATGCGGCCGCGACAGATGCTTCGCCGGTGACGGCGGTGGGTGCTGCGATGCAGCGCTGACAGCGACGGGGGATACTGTGATGGAGCGACGGCGGCGACGGGTGCTCCACGCAACACGCGGCGGCCATGGCCGAAGGTGTGATGCAGTGCGGGGATGTGTGGCTATGCAGCCGCGGCGGCACTTCATTGTATCCCCTGGCATGGGATGAATCAAGGCGGGGCCGACTGTCGTCCCCTCCTCCACTGCTACATGACGAACGAGAAAGGGGAAAATAAGAACGGTCGAAGGATTCGCTTCGTGAAGAAGTAGGGTGTGTACAATGGTTTTATCTTAATAGTGCTATATATGATAAGAGAAAGGTGTGGCTGCTCCCGGGTGTAGGTGCACCCACATGAAAAAAGAAAAATAGAACCAGAAAAATCCGAATTTTTTGACATCAAACCAGATCAAAAGTTTTAGTTTTCTGCAAAACTTAGTGACCAAATAACATTTGAGGAGCCCTTGGTAAAAAAACAAAACCACTCCTGAAAAGTGAACAAAATTTTGAACATAAATTTTGTTATTTTTGCCGAGGGCTCCTCGAATGTTATTTGGTCACGAAATTTTGCAAGAAGCTAAAACTTTTTATCTAGTTTGATGTCCCAAAATTTCAGATTTTTTCAATTTTGTTTTGTATTTTTTTTCAAGTGTATTGTTCATGCGGGTGTGGGTGCACCCAGGAGTAGAAAATCCAGTCTTGATAGGATAATCGCTTAGATGGACGAGAGAGAAACCATAAGAAAAGGTTTGCCTTCTCTTAATTAAGATGATCTCTTAACAATAATTGTCTCCACATATTTAGGGATATCTAGTTATTAGAGGCAAGACTAAGAACAACCCATTGTACATCACTTTTTATTGCCTTATCTAGATTACATGGCGGACATAGGATAAGACAGACTTATCAATCATTGTACATGCCCCAAAATGGAGGGGAGCATAGCGGTGGCGGCCCTCCATAATGACACGTGATGAGCGAAGAAAGCAGGTTATTAGAGGCAAATTACGTGTTATTTTACCTTCCTTTCAATTTCCGTTTTTTCTTTTATTATATATTTTCAAAAATTGTAAATACATATATTAAAAATTAATAATAAGGCCCAACTCAAATTTGGAAAATTGTTAAAACAGAGTTCTTTTTGTCAGCGTAACTATAAGAAAATGTTGTTATCATTCAAAAAAGATGTTCATGACAGCTAAAAAATGTCCGCATGATTCAGAATATGTATGTGAATTTTAAAAAATATACAATGCAAAAACAATGTTTGCCCAATGAAAAAAAATCTATAACAATGAAATGTACAGTTTTTAAAATTTAAATACGTTTTAGAACTTGTGTTTTTTGAACATTTCAAACATTTACGTGAAAACTAAACATTTTTTAAAACTCATGAGTTTACGAAAGACAATTTTTTAATTATTTTTAAAAATATTGAACAATTTTGTAAAATAAAAATAAAAAAGAGAAACAAAAAAAGACACAAAATGAACATGTGAAGAATAATAAGAAAACAATAAAAAACTGACCAGAAATCATCTGGGCGGTACCCAAAAGCAGGTCCTCTAGTATATTCGCTATCTACAAATTGCCTGGTCTTTTTACATGACTCGCTAATTTGTGTGAAAGCTCGCTTATACATCAAATAGGGTAACACCTATTTTACTCTCATGAGAGAAGGCGGTGTTGTCGCATCGCTCCCCCAATCGCCTTTTGTCCATTGCGAGAGCACATCCGTACAAATGATACAACGTTCACCTGCAAACCAACTGGCATCAATAGTTCTAATTTGCAGGTTTCGTATTTTTAATCCATTGATCAGTTGAATGAATTAATCTTTACTTATCCAACTACAGAAACTTCACATCAGAAGGGCGAAATGTCATCAGTTAACCAATCTTCACTGTTTAAGTTTGAGAAAGGTATCATACACATCCGCATTTCTTTACCCCCACACCCCACCATCCAAAATCATCTCTCTTACATCGGAGCGCACCCTGCCATTCCTTGGCTGAGTTAGCAACTAGAGGTATAGAGGAAGGCATATCTAGGATTTTGACCGAATTTGAAATCAAAGTTGATTTTAGATGTTATGATTAAATATGTCTTGCTGAAAGTCTTTTAGTTGAAGATTCATCAAATTAATCAAATGTCTTGCAAAGTTCATTACAATGTGTTGAATGAATCCCCAACATAGTTGGAATGTTTGTGTTCTGGGACTTCTACCGTTGTTTCCATTTCCGGCCCTCACGAGAGGCTACCATCATGATGTTTATCGTGTAGCGTTGGTCATTAATGGTGCTGATGCAAACAGTGACTTTGTTTCTGGGAGAAGAAGCAATCAAAAAAAAGTAAAGTACGGCGATCTCATCTAACCATGGGAACCAACTATCAGAATTAACCAGTCACATGTTCACCTACCAATTAGCTATGGATATATTCTATGCATAGTTGACCTCATTTTGTTGTCTCCCATATATGCAATTGCTTATAATCAGAGATTCACGTCACTATATCCGATGTACACAAATTGTAGACATGTCATGTTATGTCGGTGACTATTCTTAGTAGACAAAAATAATTTATTCGAATGAAAAAAAAAACTCTAGATTCAGGATAAGGAGGAAATGAAAAGGATGAGTGAATAAAGATGACATGGCATGGGGGAAGGGTGACTTGCTAATCGTCCATCTACGGAGTTGTAGTCAGCTTGTGTTTGGCCCCCATATATATATATGGGGTAACTATCACCGGGTGGTAGGATGGATTTTTCCTATATATATATATATATATATATATATATATATATATATATATATATATATATATATATATGTATATATATATATACACACACATCTGGGCTATTCTGTTACACGTAACACAATATTATTCTGTTACCCTTTTTGAACTGACGGTTTCAGGTGGTTGTACTGATGTTTTCGAAGCGGTTGAACTGATCCTTTCAGTTTTGTTTAACACATCGTCTTCTTTAGTTCAAAAACTTTTGTAATTTTTTTGTCGGAACGGGGCGTGTAATATTTCGTTGGAAAGCTCTTGACAACCATATTTCAAGTATATTGAACGTTTTTGCAAAATCATTATGGTTTAAGAGCAGTTTTGAAAAAACTATTTTTTTCAAAACCGAAAACGTGAATCGTATTTTGGACTCAATTTTCAAACCTTTTGTCGGAATTGAGCAAATAAGATGGTTTTGGAAAGCTGGTGAAAATCCGCATCTTTCATATATGTATTGTTTTTTCTAATTCTATATGATTTAAAAGTAATTTGAAAAACGGTGAAATTCTAGGCGAAACGTATTTTCGCAATTTTTTGCAAACGGTTCGTCGGATTGATGCAAATTATAGGGCGTTGGAAAGCTATAGAAAATGCGCAACTTTTTTGTATATAAATGTTTTTCTAATTCCTTACGGTTTAAAAACGAATTCGAATACGGTCAAATTTGATTTTGAACGCGATTTTTTAAAAAACTTTGTCGAAATATGGCAAATAATATCCTGTTGGATAGCTATCGAAAATGCGAAACTTAGTCATGTTGAACGTTTTCACTACTTCGCAACCGTTAAGAGTAATTTTGAATATGGCATGACGGATCATGCTGTTTTCTCGTCTGAAAAACAGAGTAGTCGTACTGATATATGTATACGTTTGCATTGAGCTATTTTTTGTAGAGTAATTTTGAATGGTTCTGAAAAAGGGTACTTGTACTGATGCTTGCATGGGTTTGTACTAAGCGTGTTTTCACTAACTAGGCTTTGCTCTATTTTGCTCATAAGTTTTCAATGGTTTATTGTATCATCGCCCTGTACTTGCATGGTTTATATCATCGAACTGAATGATATTTTTTTCAAAAAGAACTTTTTTTTGAACTAAACTTTTTTTACAATGATGTTCTGAACTTCTCTTATTTTACGACTTGTACTTTTCTCATTTGAATTGCATGGGGTTTCTTTTTGCTTGAACTTTTACAAGTTGAATTTCTGTCATTTTTTTTGTTTCGAACGGACCACAAACTTTAACTTGTATTGATCAATATTTTTAATTCAACCATTTTTCTTTCTAGAACGGACGAATGTATGTTCGAGAAAAAGAGTACTTGAACGAATGTATGTATGGTTTTGTACTGAGCGTGTTTTCACATCCTGAGCGTGTTTTGTGACAATATTCTAGACTTCTCTCATTTTGAACTCAGCTCCTTAGCGACCGGCCACAAAACAAGAAGTTGTACTGTTGAGAACAGCCGGAGGTGCACTACGGCGGGCGCGTGGCCGGGGGGTGGTGCGCGGTGGCGGGCGCCATGGCCGGGAGGTGGTGCGTGGTGGCGGGCGCCATGGTCGGGAGGTGGTGCGCGACGGCGGGCGCCATGGTCGGGATCGACGACGGTATTGGTCGCGCCGGCCCGGTGGCACGACGGTGGTGGGTGGGGATGAGGGTCGCCGAAGATGGGGGTTGTCGGGG